GGATACTGTCATTAATGGTGACGTGTAGAATAAGCTGTAATGAGGAATCTGGATACTGTCATTAATAGTGATGTGTAGAATAAGCTGTAATGAGTAATCTGGATACTGTCATTAATGGTGACGTGTAGAATAAGCTGTAATGAGGAATCTGGATACTGTCATTAATAGTGATGTGTAGAATAAGCTGTAATGAGTAATCTGGATACTGTCATTAATGGTGACGTGTAGAATAAGCTGTAATGAGGAATCTGGATACTGTCATTAATAGTGATGTGTAGAATAAGCTGTAATGAGGAATCTTGATACTGTCATTAATGGTGACGTGTAGAATAAGCTGTAATGAGGAATCTGGATACTGTCATTAATGGTGACGTGTAGAATAAGCTGTAATGAGGAATTTTGATACTGTCATTAATGGTGATGTTTAGAATAAGCTTTCTAACAATGATAATATAACAGGGTTCTTCACAGTTTTTATTTGATCTGATGTAATAAATAACAATGATAATATAACAGGGTTCTTCACAGTTTTTATTTGATCTGATGTACTAAATAACAATGTTAATATAATAGGGTTCTTCACAATTTTTATTTGGTCTGATGTACTGTGTAACAATGATATCAAACACAATAGAGAAGTAACATTACGACAGATACACAACTTTACCTGATAGATGCCTGGCTTGTCAAACACTGTACATCATAGAGAAGTAACACTACGACAGATACACAACTTTACCTGATAGATGCCTGGCTTGTCAAACATTGTACATCATAGAGAAGTAACACTACGACAGATACACAACTTTACCTGATAGATGCCTGGCTTGTCAAACATTGTACATCATAGAGAAGTAACACTACGATAGATACATAACTTTACCTGATAGATGTCTGGCTTGTCAAACACTGTACATCATAGAGAAGTAACACTACAACAGATACACAACTTTACCTGACAGGTGCCTGGCTTGTCAAACACTGTACATCATAGAGAAGTAACACTACGACAGATACACAACTTTACCTGATAGATCTCTGGCTTGTCAAACACTGTACATCATAGAGAAGTAACACAACGACAGATACACAACTTTACCTGATAGATGCCTGGCTTGTCAAACACTGTACATCATTGAGTAGTAACACTACGACAGATACACAACTTTACCTGATAGATGCCTGGCTTGTCAAACACTGTACATCATTGAGTAGTAACACTACGACAGATACACAACTTTACCTGATAGATGCCTGGCTTGTCAAACACTGTACATCATAGAGGAGTAACACTACGACAGATACACAACTTTACCTGATAGATGCCTGGCTTGTCAA